TAATATTATTTTGATGCGGGCCATCTATAGGAGCCGTAGTTTACCCAATGAGAACTGGTCCACTGCTCCCACCATTATTTGTTTCCCCCTACATTCGTCCAACTATTCGCACGGCTTCCCCTGCTATCCGCATGGCTTCGCCTGCTAGTGTAGAATAGACTGGAAGGAAGTAAGCTCGAGTAGAGTACGAATGACACCTGTTTATAGATTCGCACATCGTGGAAATAGAGGCTATCCGCATGGCTTGGTCTGCTGGCATACTGTACAGTAGCGGACAGTCGCTTACAATTAGACATAAGAGGACCAGGGCAGAACCGAATAGGAGCAGAGCAGAATCAAATGTGGCACACCTTGACAGCGGGATTGGCACGCGCCCCCACCACGCAATCCAAGAGCGCTCGCACGCGGCCCCGCTCCCGACGACACGTCGACGAGAATTTTGAGGGGGCCGCGCAGGGCGGTATCGGCAACCGGTGGACGCGGCGAAGACGAATCATGCGCCGCACTGACACAACACTGCCACTTTCATTCACAAGCTGGGCGACGCTTGGGCGAGGTCGGCATCTCTCTCGCTCTCGCGCGACCCCGCTGCCGCTGTCGCTTTCGTGCGACTCGGCGAACGAGCCATGCGCGGCGCCTGCGCTGGAACGCGACTTCCGAGCGAAGTGCGCACGGAGCTTGACCCGTTGGGGGCCCATGACGGCCCGAGCAGCCTCCAAGATGGCCCCAACACGGCCCCAGACGCCCCCAAGAAGGCCCCGAAACAAGCCAAGCGGGCCCCATGATGGCCGCAAAAGGCCTCCCAAACGGCCCGCGAGGACCCCAAGAGAGCCGCAATGCGGCCCCGAGAGGCCCCCAAGACGGCCTCCGACGGGGCAAGACGGCGCAATGGCCCCCCAAGACGGCCCACGAGGCCCCCAAAAAGGCTCCCATGAGGCTCCCGAGAGGCCCCCAGGGCTCTCCAAGAAGCCTCCAGGAGGTCCCCAAGAAGCCCCCAAACGCCACCACTAAACACCAAGAGGCCCGCATCCGCCCCCAAGGGCGCTGGCAGCACCCTGGGGCGGGCAGAGCGACACGCCAGAACTTCGCGGCAGAAGAGCAGGGCAAACCACCCAACGCCCATTATCTATATACGTGCTCCCGACGTGCATTCTGCGAAACGAGAAGAATCCGAGCGACAACGCTTTCCGCGAAGGCTAAAGTGCAACATATCCCGTGTATCCAATCATACTTACCATCACATTTCGCATAATATATTGTTACTTTCATGCTACTTCAATGATCTTTCAATCCCCCCATTCCCCCGAAGTCACGCAACATCCGTAGACCCAAAGATGGCGGACCCCTCAGGAGCTCCAAACGTACAAAATCAATGATTTGGGCCTCCGGGGTCCAAAGCGGGCCTGAAGACGGATGAAGATGGCCTCCGGAAAGCCCCAAGACGCTCCAAGGTGGCCCCCAAGAGCTGCTCCAGAGGCCAAAAACATTATGCTTCGGACGTGCAGCCCGCGAAGCGAGAGAAGGCAGCCAATTGTGGCACACCTTGACATTGGGAGTGGAACGCGCTCCTACCTCGCGAAGCAGAGGCGCTCGCGAGCGGCCCCGCTTCCGACGACATGGCGACGAGAGAACTACCCGGGCCGCTCGGGGGTGGGATCGGGAAGACTTCCGATCGGCGTGGCGAAGGCGAAGACGAAGCATGCGCCGTGCTGACACAGCACCGCCACTTTCGTTCACGAGCTGCGCGGCGCCTGGGCGGGGTCGGCATCTCTCCCGCTCTCGCGCGGCCCCGCTGCCGCCGCCGTGCTCGTGCGGCTCGGCGAGCGAGCCGTGCGCCGCGCCCGCGCTGGAGGGCCGCTTCCGGGCGAAGTGCGCACGGAGATTGGGCGAGGGCGACAGGAGGAGGAGGAGGAGGAGGAGGAGGAGGAGGAGGAGGAGGAGGAGGAGGAGGAGGAGGAGGAGGGACAGCTCGCCCACTCGCGCGGGGGCCCTTCGACACTGGCGATTGCGACATGTCTGCCGCGCCGAGGCGGGAGCGCCACCTTCCAAGCCAGGCGCCGAGGCGAGAGCGACCGCTTCGTCCGCTCGCGCGTCGACGACGCTGCGTGCGAGGAGCGCGCCCCGCGCGCGAGCGGGAGCCCGACCCTCTGGGAGAATGGGCACGGCGCCAAGGCGAGAGCAACACTTCGGCCCTTCCCGCGGGATGTGCGCCCCGCCCCATTCCTCCCACGCATTTTGCAGGACGCCGTAATGTCTATGTCGGGACGGAAATCATAGATTTTGGCATTTTTTTCTCGGGGGGCAGATCGGATGGGTCCCCTGGATCGGGTCGCCATCGGCCAGCTGGGTGGCAGAGTGGGAGTATACCCCAAGAAGGAAAAAGGATCGAGCAGAGAAGAATACAGTGGAGGCCAGTCCACAAGAAACCTTCCACAAGAAACCCAACCCCGAGACCCCAGCGTTACGCTTACGAGGGTAAAATCATGGAAACCCAAGAAATCCAGTTCACCCTGGAGGCGAGCAGGGTGTTTCTTGGCATGGGTCCCCGCTGTAGGGATTGGAATCGACGCTGGCTAAGACTCTTCGATTGCGCCAATCGGGTATTTTCAAGCGGTTTCGCCCTTCACCGTGAACCTTTGCAGTCCTTCCCCGTCGTTCCCTTCCTTACCTACCCTGCTCTCCTGCGACATGATGTTCGGTGCTTTCCTTCTCTGGATCGCTCGCTGAATGCTTTGCAACTTAGAAGCTCTTACTTCCCTACTTGAGGGATTGAATGGGTTAGCCTCAGGTCGGGCACGTCCTCCTACAGGCGGGCGCTGGAAGAACAACTAAACATAGCAAAACATAACGTAAAGTCGCAAGTGGTCAAAAACAGTCGAAAAACATCGTCTTCAGACTATTTCCCTCACTATTCTGGACAACTCCTCCCGTTCGGCGGTGGACAAACCTCCCTTTTTATAAGCCTCCCCTGGGTGGAAACGGCCTGAGACCGAAACCGACGGACCTGGGCCCGCAAAGATGACGGCCGCGACGCCCCCTCGCGAACCGAAAACGGCCAATTCGCTAATCGACGTGTCAGGGTAGGAGGTCTGTCCACCCCCGACCCGCAGGGGGACATTGAAGGGGCCCCAGGACACACAAATAAATACACACAAATAAAAATATTCCCCATATTTTCCCATATTTTCTGGGTTTTTGTCTCCCCCCCCCACTTACCATATTTTCCCATATTTTCCTGGAAATCGACGATTCATTGTGTCTGTGTGTTTTTTCCCCTCCTGAGACATGCCCGACGCAAGGCTTGCCGAGACCTCGCCCGGCGCCCGCCCGTGGGCGCCTCGTCGGCGCCTCGTGCGCCCAGGGCTCGGCCGAGGCTTCGCCTCCTCCTCCCCCCCCTCCTCCCTCCCCACCTCCTCCTCCTCCTCCTCCTCCTCCTCCTCCTCCTCCTCCTCCTCCTCCTCCTCCCTCCTGTCTCTCCTCCTCTCCTCCTCCTCCTCCTCCTGCTCTCCCCTCCTCTCCCCTCCCCCCCCTCCTCCTCCTCCTCCTCCTCCTCCTCCTCCTCCTCCTCCTCCTCCCCCTCCTCCTCGCCCGTTCCCACCGCATGTGCATGGCAAGCAACTCCGAGGCGACCCTCCTCCTCGCACGGTGTCCGCCTCGTGGGCACTGGGCGGGCGCTGGGCTGGGGTCGGCCGAGGCTCTCCGCCGGGTGACCGCCCGCGGGCGCCCCGTGGGCTCGGCGGGCAGGCCCTGTGCGAGCGGTGCCCCTGGAGGCAGATCCGTCTTCCAAAAAAAAACTGGTAAGATCGTTTTTCTTGAAGGCAGATCTGCCTTCCCCCAAAACGGGTCGCTGCTCTGTAGGAGCGGTGTTCTGGAAGCCAGATCTGCCGTCAAACGGTGGTCTCTACTCTGTAAGAACGGTGTCCTCGAAGGCAGATCTGCCTTCAACAAGATGGTCTACTCTGTGAGAGCGTTTTGCTTTGTTTGTTTGTATGTTTGTTTGTTTGTTTCTCTTCTTTGTGTACATATCTAGCATTTCAAAGTTATTTGTATGTTCTTTTTGTTTGTTTTTGTTGTTGTTGTTTCAGTTTTTGCTGCTGTTGTTGTTGTTGTTGTTGTTGTTGTTGTTGTTGTTGTTGTTTCTTCAAGGCAGATCTGCCTTCAACAAAAGCCGCTCTTACAAGATTTGGCCGGGTGACCGCCCGTGGGCGTCCCGTGCGGTTGGTGGGTCAAAGGAGGTTCCGCCTGGCGCCCGCGGCTTTCACATGGGAGAAGGACGAGGAGGCGCACGAGCGGGAGGACGATGCAGGAGGGGGTGGAGGAGGAACAGCAGCAGCAGGGGGTACAGGAACACCAAGCGAAGGCGGAGGAGGGGAGAGAAGGGGACGGCAAAGCCGACGAGGAAGGCATCGGATCCAGAGGTGTTGCCCGCGCTTGGGTAGCAGCGCCCGTTCTCGGGCCGAGGAGAGCGCAGCGCCGATGCCGAAATCTGGCCAACGCTCCGCTCCGGCGGGAACACCATGTGTTTCAAAGGCCGAAGACGTTCCGTCTGAGAACGCACTGAACAGCACTGCGCGGAAGATGTGGGGAACCCGCTGCACATACAGGGAAGACTGAGGAGTACTTTTCACCGTGAGTACTTGTAGGGAGGAGAAGGGGAGAGGCAAGGGAGGAGAGAGGGGAGGAGGAGGAGCAGGAGGAGGAGGACGAGGCGGAGGACGAGGGGGAGGAGGATGATAGGGGATGATGGGGATGATGAGGATGATGGCGATGGTGGGGATGAGGGGGATTATCATGATGCTGCTGATGATGATGAAGATGATGATGCTGCTGATGATGACGAGGAGGAGGAGAAAGATGAGCAGGAGGAGGAGGAGGAGGAGGAAGAGCATAAGTATGAGGAAGATAAAAAGGATGAGGAACAAACAAGGGGAGGAACCTGAGGAGCAGAAGGAAGGGGAAGAGGAGGTGCAGCAGGAGCATCATGAGGAGGGGGAACACTCCTCGGCCTCGTCGGCGCGGACCACAGGGCGGCCCCGGCTGACGGCAGCGGCCGGCGCTGGCGCAGGCTGCCGCCGCCCCCGGTGCTCCTCCAGCGGCAGCGGGCCGAGGCCGAGGAGGAAGAGGCCCCTCTGCTCCCTCCTCCCTCCTTCCTCCTCTCCCTCCTCCCTCCTCCCTCCTCCCTCCTCCTCCCTCCTCTTTCCTCCTCTTTCCTCCTCTTTCCTCCTCTTTCCTCCTCTTTCCTCCTCTTTCCTCCTCTTTCCTCCTCCTCCTCCTCCTTCCTCCTCTCGCTCCTCCCTCCTCCCTCCTCTTTCCTCCTCCTCCTCTTCCTCATTCCTCCTCTCCCTCCTCCCCCTCCTCCTTCCTTCCTCCTTCCTCCCTCCTCCTTCCCTCCTCCTTCCTCCTCTCCCTCCTCCCTCCTCCCTCCTCTTTCCTCCTCCTCCTCCTCCTCCTCCCTCCTCCCTCCTCCCTCCTCCCTCCTCCCTCCTCCTTCCTTCCTCCCTCCCTCCCTCTCCTCCTCCTCCTCCTCCTCCTTCTCCCTCCTCCTCCTCCTCCTCCTCCTCCTCCCTCCTCCTCCTCTCCTCCTCCTCCTCCTCCTCCTCCTCCTCCTCCTCTTCATCCTTCTCCTCCTCCCTCCGTCCCTCCTCAATGCGCGGGGACGACCAGCAAGCACAACGACGGCTCACCTTTCCACTTGTCCTGGGGCACCAGTCGACTTGAGAATCTGGACCAAACGGGCTGCGAGCAGATTGAGAAGGAGGCTGTGGCGCAGCTCAAGAGGGACCTGGGCGTGACCAAACTGAACCTACAGGCCCAGGAGAGCGAGGTGAAAACTTGGCTGAAGAGAGCCGAGAAGCTTCGAGCAAGCATCACCGAGCTTCGAGGCCAAGACTTGAGCAGGGTCCGACCGTCCCAGCATTCCTATAGTCCTACCACGAAATGTTCTTAGAACCCAAACATGTTCTAATAACCACAACAATGTTCTTAGAACATAAACCCGATGTGTTAAAACAAGACAGGCTCCGCCAACAATGTTCTAAGAACATTTCGTGGAAATCACACAAGGTTCTTAGAACATTGTTTGGTAGGGCTATAAGCGAGCCAGGACGCTTCGCCACTGCTTGATGAAGAAAACCGAGAAGCTTCGAGCAAGCATCACCGAACGCCAGGCCAAGACGAGGAAGAACGACGGAGGCCAGGCCGTACCGGCAGGCGGCCAGGCACTGCCGGCGCCCCGGCAGCAGCTTCGGCCGCGACCGCCGCCACAGGCAACGAGGAGGATGAGAAGGAGAAGCTGATCCAAGAGGAGGCCGACCGCCCAGTTCGGGCGTTGGCAGAACTGGGTTTAGTGGGACCTGGTTTAACGATGTGTACCGGGGGCGCCCCCCCCCCCCGTCCCATTCCACTAACTGGAATTGCCGTAACCCGAAAAGCATCAGCTACGGCAGACATGGTTTAGCGATTCCGATCCATATTTGGGGCTTCGGGGACCAATCACTAACCGGCTCCCCTTAACCGGGGTCCTGGCTATACCCGACAAGTTAGAGGCGCTCAACGCGGCGACCGAGTTGGTCGGCGACCGGATGGGCCGCTCGGCAAAGGTGTGGCGACAGCACGAGTTGCAGGTGAGCCCCGCCCATCGGCGAGTCCAGCCAGCTCGTCGGCGAGCACAGCGGCTCCATCATCTCGGTCAGCTTCCCCATCCCCATCCCCATCGGCTTCGACTCCTACCTTGGCGTCCGAGAGCGACGCTCCTGGCGGCGACGACGACGACCAGCCTAGTTTCACCACCTGGATTTTCGGCAAATTCACGTTCATTTGCAAGAAGATCTGAAAGTACGTTTTGGAATCAAAATGATTTGATTTACATTTCGCGTTCACCGAGACCCACATCAAGCCATGGTGCACCAAAGCGAGGGGACCTGGTCTCAAGCTTTTCAGCAGTGGAACCAGACCGTCAGCGGCAGGTAGCGCGGGCAGTACATCGAGGCATGCGAACGAATGGGGAGAGTGGATTGTCACTCATGGGCATCTTCGCGCACATCTCCTGGAGCTGTCAGCGACTTCTCTGTTGCAGGATGCCTCGTCTTCAAAGCTGGATGGATTTCTTTGTGTTGTCACACAAATCACCCGCAAGGATCTTCTTGCATCTTGGTGTCCTTCTACGGTATCAGCGGTATCGGACAGGGCTGAAGCTAAACGGTGTTTTTCGTTTTCGTTTTGTTTTCGTTTTCCCTCGTTTTGTCCTCAATCCACCTCTACCGCAAAACCAAGTCGAAACGAAAACGGCCCACGAAACCACCCAAACGCCGTTCAGGTCCAGCCCTGGTGTCGGATTCGCTGGGCAGAATGCCTCCAGAACCCGTCGGATGGGAGCTCTGCACCGTGCGCTGCAGCTTCTGAGTATCGTTTAACCGATCCCCATCCCCAGCGGCGTGGCCTGGGCCCCACTGGCCGATTTACCCCCCTAGATGGGGATATAGGCCGTCCCCTTCGGGTCTCGAGGGGTGTATCCCCACCTGGAGTGGTAATTTGGTCCTCCTCCTCCTCCTCTTCCTCAGCTCGGCATCGGCTCAGAGACGGGATCGACGGACTCGGAGTGGGAGCGCAGGGATGCCTCCTACGAGGCGCTGGCGGTGGTGCAAAGCTTCAAGCAGGAGCGGACTGGTGCGCTCGAGCTGGCGTCCGAACTGGCCGTGAAGTGCACGCAGCTGCGGGCTCTGGCTCGGCCGGGTCGGCATTGTCGTCGAGGCGCTGGTGGCGCGCTGCGTGGCGCGGGAGGCGGTCTCCACGGCGCCGGAGGCGGACTCTGCGCGAAGCTGGAGGCTTTTATGGCTGCCAGTTGGAGACGAGGGATGTGCTGCAAACGACCTCCACGACGTTCGAGGAGACCTGCACGGAGTGGGAAGCGATCCGCGCGACGCTGGGGGCGGCCTTCGTGGTGCGAGAGGCCATCTTCGCGACACTGGGAATTGTGCGAGGCGCGGGAGGCGCTCCGCGCGACGCGGGAGGTGGCCTTCTCGACGCTGGAGGCGATCTTCATGACGCTGGAGGCGCTCCCTCGGGCAGCCGGAGGCGGCCATGTTGCTGGAGGCTCTCTTCGCGACGGTCGAAGCAAGAAGACGGCGAAGGACGAGCCTTGCGTCGGCTCGGTCTGGAGCTCGCGCAAGCAGCGCACCGAGCCCTTGGCGGCTGCCCAGGTGGACGACCAGAAGGTCCTGGCGTACAAGGCGGTGGAGCAGCGCGTGGCCGAGGGGGTGGCCGCCCTGGACTCGGAGCACGGGAAGATGGCCGAGGAGCCGAGTCGTTGGGCGGACGTCGGCCTCAGCCCCGACGACCAACACGTCGCCGAGTGGGTCGACGTGAAGCTGCCGCGGAGGCGCACAGGCTTCGCGCCGCATGACAGCGGCAGCCGAAGCGGACACCAACGCCGAGAACGTCGACCGTGAGCAGGTCCTGCAAGGCAAGCAGCTGGCTCCGCTGATCGCCGTAGCGGCGCGCTATGAGGGAGTTGCTCGCCGCAGGCAGGTGACCAGGTGGTGGTGGCCGAGGCCTTTAAGCCCAGGGAGGCCGTCGCGGCCCGCAAGAGCTGGTTGCGCAGTGCGGCCGTCGGGCCGAGGGCAACGGTCGACCTCGTCTTCGACGGCCACGGCGGCTTCGAGGACGGCTCGGTGCTCCTGGAGTGGGAGGTGCCGTGGGCCTCGAAGCTCGGGAGATTCACGGCGGAAATGCCGTCGGCCTCGCTGCGCTGCCTCGTGAAGGCAAGCCCGCGCGGCGGAGCTGTGCCGTGCTGACTGCGCTCCGCTGGACTCGCCTCGGTCTTCATTGGCTGGTCTCGGTGGGGTGGGTTGGCCGAGGGGCGGGTCTCGCGGGTGCCGCGAAACCTGCTCCTCCTCTGGGCGGGGCGGCCCCCGGGGGGGCCGCGGGGGGTGCCCGTGGTTGTCCCCGCTGGGGTGGTGCTTCACCGACCTCGGCCTACTTCGGTGGGCGGTCGCTGGCGGAATGCGCGTCTGCGCGCTCAGGGTTCGGGGCCCTCGCCGCCACGGGCTGCCGTGGCGTTGCATGGCCGACTCTGCGCAGGTCGTTGGCGGCGGTCTCCGACGAGGCCGATGCGACGCCTTGCGTTCCGCGGGGCGAGGCGTTTTGGCCTCCCATGCTGCATGACGAATGACGCGACTTCTTCAAGGCCGTTGCCGTGCTCCTCCTCCTTCCCCTCCTCTTTCCCCTCCTCCTCCTCCTCTTCTTCCAGTTCCTTCTCCTTCTCCTCCTCCTCCTCATCATCCTCCTTCTCCTCCTCCTCCTCCTCTTCCAGTTCCTTTTCCTTCTCCTCCTCCTCCTCCTCCTCCTCCTCTCCCCCTCCTTTTCCCCCTCTCCTCCCCCCTTGTCCCCGCCTCTCCTCGGAGCCCGCGATGTCCGCGAAAGTCTGCGCTGCCAGGTGGGCGGTCGCCAGGGCGCCGCGTGGCCGCTGCGCTGCGCGGGGCTCCTCCACGATCCTCCTTCCCTTGCTCCTGCGCCCTCTCCTCTTTCTTCTTCTCCTCCTCCTCCTCCTCCTCCATTTTCTTCTCCTCCTCCTCCTACACCGTTCTTTTTCCTGATCGATAACTCCTACCTGTCGCACCCCGGGGCGGGTCGAAAGGGCGGGCCGGGCGTTTCGCCTGAGACGTCCTCACCGTTTATGACCCTGAAGCTGGAACACTTGTCGTCGTCGTCGCTGCTGCTGCTGATGATGTTGTTGATGTTGTTGTTGTTGCTGCTGCTGTTGTTCATCTAATTCTAGTTGTACTTATCATTCTAATTATGCGTATAGTGATAATTATAATTACTGTAGTTGTTGTTGCTGTTGTTGTTGTTATTGTTGTTGTTGTTGTTGTGGTTGTTTTTGTACTACTGAAGAATAGAATAACTACTGTTGAACCCTCCCCCGGTAACATATGTGTTTTTCAGCCCCTGGCCGCAGGACTACAACAACATCGGCTCCCGCCGGATACTTCCTTCCAAACAATTTATTGGAGAATCGCGCTCTCGCTAAGAACTTCCTTGCAATTAGTCGAAGAATCGCGCTCTCGTCTGACACTTCCTCGCAATTTATTCAAGCGCCAAGCCCTCGCTACTCAAGAATCGCGCTCTCTTTACTCGGGAATCGCGCTCTCGCCCGAAACTTCCCGGCGAATGTTGCAGGATTCACGCACTCGCGCAACACATGTTTTTTAATTGAAGTGCTCCTCCCGGGGCTCGCTGTGTTTTTGAAAAAAGAATAGCTTCCTGCTCACACTCTGCCCCTGGCCCCCGGTTTACAACAACAGCGGCTTCCGCCGCAGACTTCCTTGCAATTTCTTGAAGAATCGCACTCTCGCTAGGGACTTCCTTGTAATTTATGGAAGAACCGCGCTCTCGCCTGATACTTCCTCGCAAGTTATTCAGGCGTCGCGCTTTTGACACTAAGGAATCGCGCTGTCGCTTGGGACTTCCTTGCAATTGATTCAGGCGCCGCGCCCTCGACACTCAGGAATCACGCTCTCGCTTTGGATTTCCTCATGAATTTATTTTGGAATCGCGCTGTCGCTCAAGGCTTCCTCGCAATTCATGCAGGACGCACGCTTCAGCAACCCGCCTGCTCGACCTGGCCGCCTGGGCCCGCCTGTTAGGGTCTACCCGCCCGATCTGCCCGTCTGGTTCTGCCACGTGTTTTCTGCTCCTAGCCCCTCTCCTGCTACTCTCTTTCGTGCTCCATCCTCCTCTCTCCCCCCTTGTCCCTTCCTTCCATCCGTCCTCTCTTCCCTTGCCTTAGGTGCTGCACGAAATAGACGTTGCAGGTAAGAAAGATATACCCGCAAGGGGATACGATCGAAGACGAAGAGGGTGGTTATCGAGGGTTTGGGGTATACATGTTGAAAGGCACGCGAGCAGGTAAGAGCGAACAGTTTTTAAATGATTGTTGTTGTTGCTGTCGTTGTTGTCGTTGTCGTTGTCGTCGTCGTCGTTGTTGGTGTTGTTGGTATTGAATATTATTACTTCTAAAGAATAATTATTGTTGGGCCCCCTGGTGCACGCCCCCCTCGCCGCGCCTAGGCCGCAGCCACATTTTCATCATTTTCGTGAGGAAGTCTCAGGCAAAACGGGGGAGTCCGGATCCGGTTGTTTTGTTGACGCCCGCTTTCCCTGTCAAAAAACAATATAAAATGACATGTCTTGTTCTAACATAACCAAACTTCAAGAATCCTTTGCAAAAAATGACACGAAGTGCACACTCGCGCGCGCAAGATGAAATCCTTCCAAAACCTTAGTTTTCGTAGCGATTTTAACATAAAAACATGAAAAACCCAATGGTTTTTCAAAAAAAAAGTTTCAAAAATTCATCCCGCGCGCTCTTGCGGATTTCTTAGGAAACCCAATACTTTTTCAACATTTCTGTCAAACGGGCTCTTGCGAGCAACTTTTTCACGTGCTTCGAACTTCTGCAACAACGGTTGCGCGCATGCCAGGGCCATCATCCCTGTCAAATAATACCATATGGGACACATTCGTTTTTTCTTCGCGCGCGCACGCCGAAATCTTCAAACACCATTGGGTTTCTTAAGAATTTCAGCACCGCGTATCATAAAATCGCACGAATCGCACCGTAGGTCCTCGAAAAACACGTGCACGGATTATCCAAATTTCTACCCGCGCGCGCTGTCCGAATCATTGTAGGACCTACAGACAGTACCGGCGTCGTACTGGTTTAGCGTGGTTTCCTATTCTAGCGTCAGGAACATGTTACCACGAAAAACCAGTACAGGTGTCCAGTGTTGGAACAGGGGGAAAAGTCGTATACTAAGCTAGCTTACAGAAAATGTTACCACAACAAGTCACTGTACCCATGCGCCAGTGTAGTAGCCAAGGTCGTCCGCAGGCCACGAAGTGAAGTGTCCGAACGTCATAGGGCGGTGAAGTGTCCGAACGGCGAAGAAGCTGGGTGTGGGTGGTGGCGAAGAGTCGTTTGGAAATTGGTAGAGCTTGAACCGGCCCCCCCACAAAGTGGGGGTATTGCCCGCCTCCTATGAAAACCCTGGCACTGGTGAGAACGGAGTGTCCCCACGTGCTAGTAATTGGTATTGTTGTTGTTGTTGTTGTTGTGGTTGTTGTTGTTGTTGTTGAAGACTCATTTCTAGAGAACACTATGGTTGATCTCTGAAAACAGTTTCGCGCGCTCTCGCCTCGACGCTGGCTACATTTTCTCTGAAAACGAGGCTCCCGCGCGAGCGTTGGCTTCAATGTAAATGTGGGCCGTTGGAGGCCAGGCTACAATGACAACGGCTCCCGCTCGAGACTTCCGCACAATTTACTTCGAGACACTCTGGCCAGAGAGGGCCCCGAACTCAGGAACGGCGCTCTGGCTCGAGACTTCCTCGCAATTCAATCAAGTTGGCGGCGGCGGAGGCCCAGCCACGACGACAAAGCCTCCTGCTTCATTGACTCCGAGAGCCCCTGGCCAGGAAGGCCCCCGAACTAAGGAACGGCGCTCTCGCTCGAGACTTTCTCGTGATTCAGACAAATTGGTGGAGGCCCAACTACGACAAGGGCTCTCATTCGATACTTCCCCGAAATGTATTTGCAAAGGCCCTTGCCAGAGAGGTCCCCGAACTCACGAAAGGCGCTCTTGCTCGAGTTTCTCTCGTAATTCAAGCAAGTTGGTGGAGGCCCAGACATGGCGACGACAAGGGTTCCCGTTCGATATTTCTCCATATGTATTCCGAGAGCCCCTGGCCAGAGAGGCCTCCGAACTCAGGAACGGCGCTCTGGCTCGAAAGTTCCTCGCACTCCAGTCAGTGGCCGACAAGGAAGATATTCCCCCCGAGAGGGGGCGCAATCGAAGACGAAGTGGGCAGGTATCGAGTGTTTGGGGTTTACAGAATGCAAGCGTGTGCCAGTAAGAGCGAACAATCGTAACATCATCTTTGTTGTTGTTGCTGTTGTTACTAGCGAAATGGGCCTTTAGGATCCTCGGCCCCATCCCTGGAACCGCTTTTTCATCCCGGGTCGCTTCCGGAGCCCTGGGTTCCGAAACGGCCCCCCCCAGGTACCAGAGCTGGCTCCACAACCTCCTGCCGACATCACCCTCGTCCGACGACGACGACGTCCTCGTCCCTGGACGTCGCTTTCCTCACGCCGACATCACCCTCGAGTCTCTGGAGGTCCTGGTCCTCGTCCGACGACGTGTCGCCCTTACTCTGCAGGCCGCCGTTGCGCCCCCTGGCCGCCGCGGCCAGCGACGCGCCGACGCCCCCGCTTGCGCCCGCGGACGCGCTGCTGGGGCCGGCGGAGGAGCCCGCCTCCTGTTTTTTGTTTTGTTTTTACTGTTTTGTGTTGTTGGTTTTTTGAGGGTACAAGCAAACCGCAGTAACAGTAAACTGTATAAAACATACAAAACAAAAACGAGCGCCAATCGAACCAAGTGCAGGAAACACGTCTGGTAGGACGCCCAAGGTCCAGCGCAACAGATTTACACTTAAGGCCAAGCCGAACCCCCCCACGGCGACACCGTCCTGGCATCGGCTCTGGTCGGGGCCGGGACGATCCTGGGCCCAAGGCTGGTGCACCCTGCGCACGCCCCCCTGGCCTCCTGGCGTCGCGACAAAATGACGGCGGCAGGCTTCTGTCTGCCTGTCTGCCTTTGGCATTTGGGAGCCCTGGGAGCGCCGAAAAACGACTCGGGGTGACGCGTCGGTCCTGAGGAAGAGGTGCAAGCTTTGGGGTGGCCGCGTAGGATGAGGTCGGGCATGTCCTCCTACAGGCAGGCGGATTTTGGAGGACAGAAATAACCAACAACTGTGCAACAACAGTCAGAAGTAGTAGAACAATCCTCCCCACGTTATTTTTTGGGCTATCTTTGAATGTTCCTCCTGTAGAGGGACGTGCACGACTTGAACTCATGATGAAGCGCCGGTCCTGGGGAAGAGATGCAGACTTTGGGGGGGGGGGGGGCACGGACAGAGTCGCGTCGGGAGCCTGGGCCTCCTGGCCTGGCCAGGAAGGCACGTGCGCGCGGTGGTCTGCAGAGGGCCGGCTCCGACCTCCCGAGAGCAGGAGACAGGAGGAGGGCGGAGGGAGGAGGAGGGGGAGGAGGGGTAGAGGGAAAAGAACTATGCACATGCACCGATTCTGGCCAGGCCCATCCTGAGCCCAGGATCGGTGCATACGCCTTCCTACCTTGCCCAGGAAGGCATATGCACCGATCCTGGGTCAAAAATGGGCCTTGCAAGGATCGGTGCATGTGCATAGTTCTCTTCGCCCGAAGGGGGGGAGGAGGAGGAGGAGGAGGGAGGAGGAGGGGAGGAGGAGGAGGAGGAGGAGGGGGAGGAGGAGGAGGAGGAGGAGGAGGAGGGGGAGGAGGGGGAGGAGGGGGAGGAGGAGGAGGAGGAGGAGGAGGAGGAGGAGGAGGAGGACGTGGGTTGGCGTCCCGCTCGTGCTTCCGCTGGCTTTCCGGCAGCAGGGCGCCCGCCGCCGCTCTGCCTTTTGTGTTCTCCGCCCGCAGGGGCCGCGCGGTGCGGAGCCCTGGCGCGCCGCCGCGAAGCCGTGTTCATTGCGACGGCTACACCCTGCGAAATGCTCAAGAAATCATGGGTTAAGAAATTCACAGTCTCAGAAATTGAGTAAAACCCAGAACTTCTATCAAAATCTTGGGATTGACATTGGAAAGTTAAGAATAATCGAGACTCTGGACGAAAACTTAGGTTTTCTTAAGCATCGCCTAAGGTGTAGTGCGACGGCATCTGTGCTAGGTCGGGCGCGTCCTCCCGTGGGCGGATTTTGGAGGACAAAAGTTTGAAGAGTCAGCAACAATTCCCAAATAGTCGACAGATCGCCCCCGTTTTTTTCCTCTCTTCTTTCTTATATATATATATATATATATATATATGTGTTTGTGTGTGTGTGTGTATATTCCTCTTTCTATATTTTTACAAGCCCGGGCGGGGGGAAAACCCGTCACCCCCCCCCCCAAAACCGGACTCCCGGATCTTGGGCTTTGGGACCCTCTGGACGGGCCTCGAAGCGGCCCCCCGGGCCTCGCAGAGCGTTTTGCAAAGCCTTCCCAGCACACCTAGGGCGATCAGGGGGGTCATCGGAGACGTCCCAGAGACCCCCAAGACAGCACAAGAGCGCTCCAAGAGTGACCGACGTGACCTCAAGATGGCCCAAAAAGGCCTCCAGACGGCCCCAAAGAGGCCTCCAAGAGCACTCCCAAGAAGGCCCACAAGGCACAAATCTTTGATTTTCTGTGGTTTTTTGCTGAATTTTGGGTTTGTCTTCTTTTCGGCTTCCCGACGCTCCAAGACGGCGGTCTTCTGGGCGTCCGAAGCCGCCTGGGAGGCTCCAACATCGCCCCACAACCATCCGAAATGGCTTCCAGGCAGTCCAAGAGAGCCCCAAAACGGCACAACACGGGTCCAAGATGGCCCTCAGAGAGCCCCATGGCGGCCCAAGATGGCCCCAAGACGCCCTCCGAAATATTCCCAATCGTGACCCGGTCGTTCAGGGAGACCGCGGTTGGAGGCAGGGTGGCCCGAGGAAGTCCCCAGAGGCCCCCAGAATACGCCCGGGATGCCTCCAGAAGGCCTTAAGAAAGCCTGAAACAACTTTTGTGAAGCCCCCAGAGGCTTTCCAAGGAGGAGCCTCCGCAACAAAGAGCTGTGGAGGATGGGGAGAATGCGCAGGGTACGGCGAAAATAAGGAAAAAGAAGCATGGAGGAAGGATAACGAATAACATGATTATAGCGGCGATGCCGGAAAAGGCAACAAGGAGTTATCTCTAAATTGTCGGCTTGACCTTCCTGCTATTCCGCCTGCATACCAAACTTCAAGGACCAAGGTGCATGGCGAGAAGCGTCACTGCAGTCTTGTGTATATATATATATATACACAAGATTTTAAGGCTCGCTGCGCTTCGCCTTCTAATCTTGATCCTTGCACCTACGATGTTTCTGGGCGCGGGCGAGAACACAATTGTTCAATGAGGTGTGTGGGAATTGTGCGAGCGGAGGCGAGGCGAGGCGAGTGCGCGGTAGCGCCCGGGGCGGGGCTCAGGGCGCAGAGTTGGTGGACGCTGGAGTGGAGGTGAAGGTGGAAAGTCGGATGCCGGACGCTAGAGGTCGGAGTGCTGAGCTGATGGAGGCTGGAAGTCTATAGGTGGAAGTCCCACCAGCCCTTTAGGGCTACGGTGGTATAACGAGTTTGGTCTTCTCTCTTCCCCTTCCTTCCCCTGCTCGGGGGAGGGGTAACCTTCCCCTGGACCTGGAGGGGGGGGGGATGGAGGCGTTAGAGCGTCCAAGATGGCTCAAGATGGCTCCAAGAGGCGCTCCAAGTCGCAAGATGGCCTCCAAGATGGCCCAAGATACCTCAAGATGGGTCAAGATAGCCTCCGACACACCTCCAAGAGTCCTCAAGACGGATCCACGTGCCCTTCGAGCCCTCCACGGCGCCCTCCAAGAAGCCAAAACCCTTCAAAAGCCTAAGGAAAGTCAATGTGTTTGGCATTCTCGTCTTTTCGCTTCCGATGGGCCCCTGAGGCATCAAGATGGCCCCAAGATGGCCCAAGAGAGCCCCAAGAGGGGCCCAAGAAGGCCCAAGACGGCCCCAAGATCGCCCAAGAGGCTTCCAAAGAGCGCTCCAACACGTCCCCAAGACGCCGTTTGAGAGCCTCCGAGGGGGGGACCTGAACTGAGGACCCCCGCTCTTTTTGAACAGTGGGGCCCAAGACGGGCCCGAGAGGCCTCCCAGCCTCTCCTGAAGATTCTCCACCCCGCCCTTTTTGGCCCAAGATGGCTCCAAGAGAGCCCTAGATAGCCCAAGATGGCCTCCAAAATGGCCCAAGATAGCCAAGCATGGCTCAAGATAGAGCCTCCGACAGATCTCCAAGAGGCCTCAAGACAGCCTGAATATGGCCCAACATAGCCGAGCATGGCTCATAATAGCTTCCGACAGCCTCTAGCCGAGCATGGCTCAGGATAGCCTCCAAGAGGCCTCGGGAAAGCTGGCAATCAATTCTGGACGGGCCGGTGGGGATACGCGAAGCGTCAAGAATTGAGAGGAAAGTCGGCGGCCGCATGCTGGAGGACGGGATGCTGACCTGGTAGAGGCTGGGAGTCCCGCGAGCGAAGCGGCAACACGATATTGAATGAGAGATGTGGCCGGCGCCTCGGCGAAAGCACGGGTCCCAGTGAAAGCTGTCTTCTGTTTCCGCCGTTTGCCCTCCCCTCCTCCTGCTCCTCCGTGCCCTCCTTCCGGCTCCCCGGGGCCCCTCCTGTTTCTCGCAATCCTCACCGTTCCTTCCTCTTCCTCCTTTTTCTCCTCCGTCCCGCCTCCTGCTCCTTTTCCTTCTCTGCCACGCGGGCCCATTCGGCGTGCGGGCCAGCCGAGCCAAGGACGACGGCGACGATGACAACGACGACGGCGGCGACGACGACTCCCTGAAAAACTTGACCTCCGAACCTGTCCACGATGCGTTCTGGCCATCAGTTTCACGAGAACCCGGCCGCGGCGACGGGGGAAAGTCCCAGAGTCTTAAAAAAACAGCAAACAGTTTTTGTTATTACAAAACAGAAGAAGTCAGAAGGCGCGCGGGCGGGTGGAGGGGTGCGACAGAGAGGCACAGAGAGAGAGAGAGAGAGAGAGAAAAAGAGAAAGAGAACGAGAGAGAGAGAGAGATAGAGAGAACGAGAGAGAGAGAGAGAGAGAGAGAGAGAGCGAGAGAGAGAGAGAGAGAGAGCGCGGAGGAGGAGGAGGAGGAGGAGGAGGAGGAGGAGGTGGAGGAGGACGAGGAGGAGGAGGAGGAAATGGACCTGAGCGGCCCTCATGGCCGCTGCGCGACCTCGGAAGCCTTGCCACGTGCAATGATAGACGCGCGGGGCTCTCGTAAGAGGTAGGGGCGGAAGTGCAAGGAGTAAGAGAGAATCTGGAGGGCGAGGACAGGGAAAGCGCGGAATCCTCGTGTCATGGGGTCTGAACAGGATGGGAACAACTGGGAAGACTGCACATCAAATTTTGGTTCCCGGGGCCGCGCGCCGACTGTTAAGTTGGAAGAGAGAGCGAGAGAGAGAGAGAGCGCGCAGAGGAGGAGGTGGAAGAGGAGGAGGAGGAGGACGAGGAGGAGGAGGACGAGGAGGACGAGGAGGAATGGGAGGAGGAGGAGGAGGAGGAGGAGGAGGAGGAGGAGGAGGAGGAGGAGGAGGACGAGGAGACGAGGAGGAGGAGGAGGAGGAGGAGGACCAGAGCGGCCCTCATGGCCGCTGCGCGACCTCGGAAGCCCTGCCACGTGCAATGATACACGCGCGGGGTTGTCGTAAGAGGTAGGGGCGGAAGAGCAAGGAGTAAGAGAATCTGGAGGACGAGGACAGGGAAAGCGCGGAATCCTCGTGGCATGGGGTCTGAATAGGATGGGAACAACTGGGAAGACTGCGCATCAAATTTTGGTTCCCGGGGCCGCGCGCCGACTGTTAAGTTGAGACGGTGCACAAAATTGGGAGTCTGAATTGGTGCCCTAGGGCCGCTGCCTTACTAAAACGGAACCACAGGAACCTGAACATCAGATTTTGGTTCCCGGGGCCGCTCCCCTACCCATGGCCAGCGCGGGCGGGCGAGAAGACAGTAGGCCCGTGGTGGGGTCTTCCTGGACCGTCCAGGAGTCTCGTGGGTTCTTCAGGGGAGCTGGTGATAGCAGTCTGGGGTCTGGGGTATGTTTTAGTTCTCGCGAGTGTTCCGTGGGCTCCTGAGACGAAGGGAGAACTGCGCATCAAATTGTGGTTCCCCGGACCCTGGAAGCCTGTCGTGGGCCCTCTTCGGAGCCCCCTTGGTCTGTCTTGGCACCCCTGGTTGCTTTGGGGGAGCTTGTGATAAGAGTATGTGGTCTGGGGCTTTTGACGAGACAGCGGAGGAGGAAGACAACGAACTACAGGAGGAGCAAGAGGAGCAGGAGGATAAAGAGCCGGAGGAGGAGGAGCAGCAGAAGGAGGTTGGGAGGAGATTTCCGAAGAGTTGGTGTCGAGAGTTAGGTTGGAACCTTCTTGGACTTTCTTGGGGATGTCTTCAGAGTCTCGAAGGAGGAGATTTCCGAAGAGTTGGTGTCGAGAGTTAGGTTGGAACCTTCTTGGACTTTCTTGGGGATGTCTTCAGAGCCTCGAAGGAGCAGCTGGAGGAGGATCAGGAGAAAACCTCCTGAGAAAATGAGTATCAGTTTTCGTATCCCGGAGTCGGTGGAGGCAAATGAGGAGAGGGCGATGGAGGAGGAGGAGGACGAGGAGGAGGAGGAAGGCGACGAGTTCGAGGGAAGAAGGAGGTTGAGGAGGGGATGAGGGGCAGAGAGGGGGAAACGGAGGAGGAGGAGGTAGAGAAGGACGAGAGATGGGCTGTCGGACGTCCGAGTAGGTCATGCCGAGAGTTATCTTGGAACCCTCTTGGGCTCTAGTGGGGATGTCTGCAGGGCCTCATGTGCCGTCTTGGGGCGAGGTTGAGAAGAACTAGGGGCGATGGGGGGGGCCGCTCAGGTCAATCAGAGTGTAAAGAATTTGACGGCTCTAAGACTGAGTGGAGCTCCTGTTGGTGCTTTTGTATACCATCGGAGGGCCTTCTTGGGCTGTCCTGGGGCCCTCGTGGGCTGTCTGGGGGCAGGCCCGACTTGACCCTTCCCCCAGGAGCAGCGCTGCTTCCCTGGTGTTTCAGGGCCCCGAGGCCCGAAACCGACCTCCAGAGGCCAAACAGTACCCCAGCAGAGTGCCCTCACAGCAGCAAGGTGTGAAGGTGCGGGTCGAGGAGTATGACGTCGGCTATCGGGGACATTGGTGAGAACGCGGCCATTTTTGTTCATATATACGTATAGATATACACTATTTATATATAACATATTAGCATTATTACTATCATCATGATTGTTATTATTATTTATTATGTTTGTTATTATTGTGATTAATTATCATGATTCATTCTTCTTCTTATCATTGTTACTATTATTAATACTATTATTATTGTTATTATTGTTACTACTCATATCATTATTATTATCGTCATACTAATAGTAATTCTTATCATCATCGTCATCATTATTAGTATCATTGTTATTATGATCATTATCATTACTACTATTCTTATTCATTTTTACTATTACTATTGTTATTATTATAACTGTTATTGTTATTATTATTGTTGTTATTATTATTATTACTACTAGTACTACTACTATTATTATTACTATATTTTTATTATTGTTATTATTATTGGACAAGACATGCATACAACATATCGTGACCGTCTGGACCCAACATGTAGCCAACAATGAGGCGAGGGCACGATTCCGGGAGGAGCTGTGAGGACGCCTTGGGCGAAGCGGCTCCCGGCCCGGGCATATCTCCGGGTGGGCGGTCCGGGGCCCCCCGCCCCCCCCACGTGGGACTCTTCTGTGATCCGCTCTTCTCGGGGCTGCGCAGACATGTCTTAGCGATCCATGGCTTTGGCGCGCGGTCGCCAGGTCCATGGCTCGGGGGAGGTGCCCTCCCCAAATTGCGGCCAGTGCCGCCTCGCTCGGCGGCGGAACTCCGCGGTTTCCCATGGAAAACGGGACCCGTCGCTAATCCATGGCCCCCTCGATCCATGTTGGCGATCGCCTGATCTACCGCGGTTGTAAGCTTCTCTGGCGACAGGCTCCCCTCGGGGAACAGAGCGACAGGCTGGCCGCCGCGACCTGTTTCGGGGCGCTGGGCGTGTGGGAGCACGGTCGATCGGGGCTCTTCTGGCCCGGGTCAGTCCAGCCCCGGGTGAATTAGGCCTTGCAGGATCCTGCGGGATTCTGCGCCCAAGCCCGGGTCGATGCGAACCTGGCCCTGCAGGATCCTGCTGCAGGATCCTGCAGGAACCTGCGCCCAAACCCGGGCCAATGCACCCCTGGCGCTGCAGGATACTGCAAGATCCGGCGCTCTGGCTGACCCCCGTTTGCATTGACCCCCGTCTCTTGAGCCCCGAGTCGAAGTCGGCCAGACTTTCCGCCAGCGTCCGTGTGCTCGGGAGCGGCCAAGACCAAGAGGGGGGGCGGGGACGTAATGAAATAAGAAGAGGCGCCATGAGATCTGGGGAGGTCTCACGCCCCCCGCCATAATATCCCCATCCCCCCAGTCATCACCCCCCTCTGTGCCGCCCCCCATGTGCACCAGCTTTGGTCCCGAGACTGGGCGGCCCAGGATCGGTGGCCGCCAGGCCCCCCTCCCCGCACCTCCGACGCCGTCGTGCCACCACGGGGAGCGCCGGAAGCAGGAACGAGCGGGCATGTCTGGCCACGGCGAGCCTCGGCCACGAAGAGGTTCCCCGACTTTGGTTTGAGGAGAGGCCGAAAACCAGAGCCCCTCCCGAGCCCGAACGTGGTCCTGATTTCGGCGTCTCGACACGAGAAGACCCTCGACCCCAACCCTGGATCTGGTCTCTCGTCCCGATCCGTTTTCTCTGTCGGCGCCCCCGAGGCCAGGAAGGGGCCGCCAGGGGCCAAGGGCGGTGAAGAGCCGCAAACTCGAGGTCTGCGAGTCTCTGGAAGCCCGAGTCCTCGACCGACGACGTGCCGTGGCGCTGTCGCAACGCGGACCCCCGACGCCGCAATCTTGTTGCAGCGTGGGCCCCCGGAGCCATCGACCCCGACCCCTTCCCCGGGGCCGCTCTCTCACGCCAGATCTCGCTCCCTGAGGGCCGCCGGGCCAGGGAACGGCTACAAATAGGTCGGGCATGTCCAACTACAGGCGGATTTTGGACGACAAATAAAACATGTTCAAACAATGATCAAAAATAGCCTGAGCATACTCGAGCAACTGTCCCCACATATTTTTGCATAAGACAAATATTTTTGGATCATCCTCCTGTAGAGGGACAGGCCCGACTTAAGCCTACAACCCTCCCGCCGACACCACCCTCGAGCTTCTGGGAGCCCTGGGTCCTCGTCCGACGACGTGTCGCCCTTCCTCTGGGCGGCGCCGCCGCGCCCGGCGGCCGCCGCGGCTGCCAGCGACGCGGCCACGCCCCCGCTGGCGCCGGCGGACGCGCTTCCAGTGCCGTCGGACGGGCTCGGCGGCACGCTGCTGCTGTCGGAGTCCTCGGGTTAGGTTGGGCATGTCCCCCCACAGGCGCATTCTGGAAGAAAAATCAAAAAGAGTCAACAAAAAAACAAAAAAAGTGAAAAATGGTAAAAGAAATCGCACTATTTTTTGACTATTTTTCGATACTTCTCCTATAGAAGGACGTGCCCGACTGAATCCTCGGGCGGCCCCGCTCAATGAAGCTTGACGGGGCGGGCGGGCCCGCGGGAAGGGCGGCCTCTGCGAGAAGGGCGGTCGGCGGCCCGGGTGCCCTGCGTGACTGTTTGTCTGCTTGTTGCTGTGATTGCTCGCAGTGTCATATCGATCGAAACAGAATTTCCCTAACAGTGCTTGCACTTTAGCTAGGGATCCTCCTCGGAGGTTGATAGACCTCCTGCCCTGACACGTCGATTAGCGTATTGGCCGTCTTCGGTTCGCGAGAGGGCGCCGCGGCCGTGTGGGTCGGTTTCGGTCCTAGGCCGCTTTCACTAGAAAAGGAGATTTACGAAAAAGAGGTTTGTCCACCGCCGACCACCTCCGCTTCCTTTCGGGGAGACGTAAGACCCGGGTACGGGGGACTCGGAAATCCCCGACGAGGTCGTCAAACAAATGACGAGGCCGAGCCTGCATTTTGACGAGGCCTCCCGCTGCAGACATCCCACAAAACTCCTCCTCGTCAAAATCCGAGTCGCGGTCGTCAAAAAACGATGGCGAACCCGAGTCCCGGCAATCCCGGGTCTTACGCTCCCCCGATCCTTGAGGAAGTGGGCCGGGTCTGCTCGGCGTTCGGCTGGTGCCCAGCAGGTGGGCGCCACTGGGCGCCCCGTGGTGTGTGCCGAAGCTTCGCCTGGCACCCGCCCGGGGGCGCTCGCAGGCGCCTCCTGCGCCGGGTGGGTGCGCCGAGGTTTGACGCCCGGTGCCCGCCCACGGGCACCCCGTGGGCGCCTCGCGCTCGGGGCGGCCGCGTAGACGTTCCTCGCGCCAGGAGGTAGACTCCTCCTCCTCCTCCTCCTCCTCCTCCTGCTCCTCCATCCTCCTCCTCCTCCTCCTCCTCCTCCCCCTCGTCCTCCTCCTCCTCCTCCTCCATTTCCTTCTCCAGTTCCTTCTCCTCCTCCTCCTCCTCCTCCTTGGGCCTCCTCCTTCCTCCTTCCTGGGGTTATCGGTCCCCCTGGGACACTGCAGATTACACATGACCCTGCCACGTCGCTCATTTTCCAAGTGAGCTCGTACCATCCAGTGCCAGCTGGTATCGACCCCCCCGCACCCCTGTCAAATAATATGATGCGCGCGCGCTCGTTTGTCGCAGGATACTATTCTGTCGAGACCCAGGGGAATCAGTAACTACACAAAGTCCACACGCGCGCGCGAACAGGTCGAAATCACACCAAACACAGAAGTTGAGCAAGCATGTCTCCGCATACGAGTGTGACAATCCCCAAGGTTTTCCACCACACATCTGGAAGACTTTCTGCCTGCGCGCACTTGCTGCCATCGTGGGGAAGCCATCTGGGTTTAGCAATCTCGTCCCATACCTGCATTCTCATCTCACCCCGCCGTGCGTCCGCGTCGATCCAGCCTGCGCTCAGTGCAAGGATCCGTGCAAGATATTGCCATGCGTGTCACACGCGGCGCGCGCCGCCACGCGCGCTCGTCAGCATCTTTCCAACACCACTGCTTTTCGAAGCGCTTCGACACCGAGCTCTTTAAACGCACGTGAATAACCACGGGTCTTTCAACAACGAAGCTGTCAGGCTTCTTGTATTTCCGCGCGCGCGCACTCCCTCACCATCACCCCCGCCAGCGCCACCGCATCACGGCCGATATCGTCATCGTCAGCGCCACCATTGCCGCCATCATCGATCAATCAACTTTTTCACCGACGCATGGACACCAACATCGTCGTCGTCACGAGCATCGGCGCCGTCATTGGCCTCGCCGTCGCCATCGTCATCATCGCCACCAACAACGCTTCTATCATCATCGCTGACGCCATTGTCGGCGTCATCATGCTACAACGCTTGCCCGGGTCAGCGACCCGCACCGAGGTGCCCGCGCGTCAGCGCGGCTTTCGAGACGCGCTGGAAGTTCCCACTGGTGAGATCCATCACGACCGAGTCGGTTGTGCCAAACCAGCTGGCCACTCTGCGCGCGAGCTTGCGTGCACTAGCGCAGTCGCAGACATGCGCTAGCCAGTGCCACGTAGTCACAGCAATCGCGGCCGCATGGATTGTGCAAAACAAGTTGCGTGTGGGAGGGTGAGGTGATCGCGCGAGCAGTGGTTGTCAACTTCACGTTCTGCAAGGTGGATCGTACTAAATAGCTTTTGCCACATAGCTTGCACGTTTAAACTTACACTGCACCGAGTGTAAGACACACAACCAACACCACGTAGTCACATTGCATCGTACCATCTGCACCACATACCTTTCACCACGCAGCTTGCACCGCATAGCTTGCACCACACAGCTTGAACCACATAGCTTGCAAAACATCGCTTGCACGGTACATATATCTTGCACCACACATATTGCACCGAAGAGCTTGCACCACACAACTTGCACATCTACAGTGCGTTACCTGACTGTTTGGGGTCCACGCTGGCAAACATATTGTGGGGTTGTTCTCGCTTCTCTCCGAATCGCAGCATTTGACTGGATCCGGCGTTTCCGATTCCACCCAATGCGTCGGGGATCGGCGTGCGTCGGGGGGGGGCGGTAAGAAGACCCTTCCACTTGCCATTTCGCTGCCCTCCTCGCCCCATGAGGGGTCGAGGCCCGTTCCAACAAATGGCCATTAACTCGACGAGGTCCACGAGACTGTGGTGCTGATGCTCCGATCGGCCCTCCGACGGTCACACCCGGGCTCAGGAGCCCGGCTGGCAGGACGGGAGGAGCAGTGCGCATCGCCACTGCGGGCGTTCGAGGCCCAGACGAGCTGCAAAAATCCCGGCCCAAAGAGAGCCACGGGAGCTCTGCACACTGTGGATGGTAAGACATGTGGTGGGAGCTATGTAGTGCAAGCTATGCGGTGCTATGTGCGTGGTGCAAGTAAGAGGTGGCAACGAAACGGCAACGGGCAGCAATGTGGCGAAACCTCGCCGGACCCACTCAACGCACGAGGCGGCAACGAGGCGGCAACGGGCGGCGGCATGGCGAAACATGGTCAGACCCACCCAACGCGCGAGGCGGGAACGAGGCGGCAACGTGACGAGACCTCGTCGGACCCATCCTGCTCCTTAGCAACCCAAGTGGGAGCGCCTGAAAGCAAACGCTGCCTGGGGAACAGTCTGTCCTTCCGGTCCAGGCGCGGTCCAAGAGGCGGTCGCCCTCGAGGCGGGTGCCTTCGGGGGCGCCGTGCACACAAAGCGGGACGTGCGCAGACTTTGCGGAAGTCCGCGCGGTGAAGGCCGATCTGCGCGCCTCCTGCGGGTGACCTGGGCTGTTTGTGTGTGTTGTGCACGCGGATCCGCAGTGCTCCCTCTGAGGGCCTGGCCGCGCGCGCACCGGATCCGACCTTTCTCCGCCTCGTCGCGCCGCGGGCGCCGAAAAATGTGTATGTGCGTGTGTGTGTGTTTCTCCGCCATGTCGCTGCGCGCAGGGCAACAACGCCAATCTACATATATATATATATATGTATATATATATATATATATATATATCTATAAACACATATATATATATATATATATATATATATATATATATATATATATGTATGTATGTGCCTTTAGATCAGTGTGTGTGGTGTATGTGTGCGCGCGCAACCCTTCGCTGCCTGCTGCCCATCGACAAAGTTCGGTAGTAACTGCCTACACCGCGTCCCGCTATTCGCCTCGCTGAATTGAACGTGCCTGGATGGAACAAGTGTGTCTGTGTGTTCTGTGTGTTCTCTCTCTCTCTGTGTATGTGCGCGCGCGCGTGTGTGTGTGTGTGTTTGAAATTGTTTGTGTGCGTGTGTGTGCGCGTGTGTGTGTGTGTGTGTGTGTGTGTGTGTGTGTGTGTGTGTGCGTGTGTGTTTGTGTGTGTGCGCGTGTGCGAGTGCGTGTGTGCGCGTGTGTGCGCGTGTGTGTGTGTGTGTGCCTGTGTGTGTGTGTGCGTGTGTGTGTGTTGTGTGTGTGTGTGTGCGCATGTCACTCGTAGCTTGGACATCGAGGTCAGAGCGTCCGACTAGGACTAGGAGGGCGCTCGGGAGTGGTCAACAAGGGCCTATGTCGCCCTACGGATGGCATAGAAATGTCGGGCTCTGTCCTCCTCTGAGTCGAGGGGGCCAGGGTCAGGAACCGTGCGCGCAACATTGTACATGTGATGCGCACGCGCGATCCGCTCCACCTCTTCTGGGGTCGCTGCCCCAGCGAGGCCGAGACGAGCGGAGAGGCGCACAGGGGGCTCGGCGGGGTGGCATACAAGGCCCCACAAAACTGGACAACGAACGTAGTGAGACATATCATATCGACAACAAGCACAATAATCTACAGCCTCGAACCTCGGAGCTATGAAGACGGGCGCTCGTGGGCCAGCCCCCGCCCACGGTTTTTAGAACCGCGCTTTGCCTAGAGGGCGGGCCACCATCCTTGACTGGGTCCTTGAGGGGGGGCCAGTTCTGGACGTCAAAAGCAACATTCCAGGATGTGAGGCGTTTCAAAATTGTGTCCTGCAGAACATCAGGGAAGAGAGACGACCGAAAAAAGAAAGAGAGGAGCGTCTGGACACGCACCCGCTCCGGCCCAGACTGGTCGAGGGCGGCGAGGGCGCAAGCGGCAGCCTCAGAGAGCTCGCGGGTGCCGAACTGGCCAAGCGATCCCGATTCCACGTGCTGGACCAGCGGCTGCGAGCGCCAGAAGAGCGGCGAGAGGCGCCCGCTCCCGATCACTGCCAGGGTGCCGCGCTCCTCCACCAGCGCCTTGAGCTTGGCCAGGAGCGGCCTCCTGGTCGTAAGAGTCGATCTCGCAGCTCGCATGCGAGACGCCATGCTGAGCACCACCATGCTGGCAGGGCGCAGCGCTGACCACGAAGCTAGGCCAAGGATGGCGCGTTTCGGGAGCGACTGAAGCGGGAGGTGCCAGACTTTGTGCCACGCCCATGCCTCGCGTCGGTGCAGCGAGGGTGGCACAGGCGCGAGCTGCATGATGTAGCCCAAAGCCGAGAGCACCCTCGGATGGTAGATGACGGTGGAAATGTGCGCTGGGGCTCCAACGCGTGCAAGTTCACGGACTCGGTGGATCCGTTTAGCCCCAGGCTTCTGCCCCATAATGTCAGGTGGTTGTGTGTGTGTGTGTGTGTGTGTGTGTGCGTATGTGTGTGTGTGTGTGTGTGTGTGTGTGTGTGTATGTGTGTGTGTGTGTGTGTGTTTGTGTGTACGAACGTGCGTGCGTGCGTGCGTGCGTGCGCGTGTGTGTGTGTGTGTGTGTGTGTGTGTGTGAGAGTGTGTGTGTGTGTGTGTGCGTGTGCGCGTCTGTATATGTGTGTGTTTGCGTGTGTGCGTGTGTTTGTGTGTGTGTGTGTGGCGCATCGCCGGAGCAGTCCCTCTGCCCAGCCGCCGACGCACAAAGTAAGTGTGTGTGTGTGTGTGTGTGTGTGTGTGTGTGTGTGTGTCTGTGTCTGTGTGTGTGTGTGTGTGCGGGGGGTGGCCATTTTGCGGGTCCCTGCAGGTTTTATGGGGGGGTTCAGGAGGGTAGGTGAGGAGGAGAAGGGGGAGGAGGAGGCGGAGGAGGAGGATGTGAATAGGGAGGGGGAGAAAAGATATGGTTAGGGTGAGGAGAGCGAGAGAGATATAGGAATGAATCTACATATCTAGAGAGAGAGAAACACACATAAAAAGAGGGAGAGAGGGAGAGAAAGAGAGAGAGAGAGAGAGAAAGACAGAGAGAGAAGAGGATCAAGGGGAGGGGGAGGAGGAGAACAGGCAGGAAGAGGAAGATGTAGAGATGGGGGGGGAGGGAAAAAGGTACGAGAAGGAGGGGGGATGGCGAGCAAGAGAAGGTAAGGGGGAGAGGAGGGACGAGGGGGAGGAGGGACAGGGGTGGGAACAAGGAGGAAGAGGGGGGAGGTGGGGGGAGGTGGGGGGAGGCGGACGAGGAGGAGGGTGCGCACGTCGCTGTGTGTGCGGCAGGCGTCTCAGAAGTATCTGGCAAAGCCGACGAGGACGGTGGCGACTCTGCGGCGCACGGCTTGCGAATAGCGCTAAGTTCGAATACGCGGCGGACGAGGATCTGGTACTGGGCACCCCAAACTCCATAGCTAATATGAGCTGGAGTGCAGCGGCGGTTATCAATCCGCCACGCTCTGCGAGTGAATGCTTTCGTTGCACCGCGCGCCGCAAGCGACTATGTAGTATAATATGGGCACAATGGGCGTGATCATGATGAGCAGACGTGGCTTCCTTCCGTTGCAGACCGTCGCATCGGACAATGCCAACGAACGACCTCCAATGTATTAACCGACTCCCATGGACAATGAACGATACCGAGGACAATAAGAGGAAACCAAATACCACAACGTAGACTTTGTAACGGTACTTGTTCGGCAGCCATGCTGGAACGATGCTTTGGGCAACCCATGAACGCGACGATCGCGACCACGGATCGGAGGTTTGCAACTGCAACATATACCTTGAAACCGTACGTCTTGACCAAGTCAGACGAGTGGTGCTTTGGAAACTCATAGCCACGACAACTGAGGATATCACGAACACTAACAACAATACAACAACCGCAATGTGACATAGGCCTCGCTGCCGGATCTGCTTGCCGTGTCAGAAATGGTACCAATGCGCCATGGGACAAAAAACACGGACACGAAGAAGAGGCTGTCAACCGCAATGTATGCGAATCGCGGATTCGAACACAAAACACATCAGCGCATGAAATGACACAACATTCAAGCAAACAGAAAAACTTGGGGTGGGGGCAGTTTGGGCCTTTGGTCTCGTATCAATTCCCTCCGAAACTGGGCGCCGCGCAACCGACATCAACAGTGCCGTCGCCAGGAGTGCAGCTCCGGCCAAAGCTAGACGTCGCACCATGCAGCAAGAGCACCAGAGCACCAGAGGAGACGTCATTGCCACCGCGGCAACGTGCCAATGTGTCGGAGGCGAGGGATCATCGAACTAACGCCCTGAGATCGCTGCGCTTGCGACGTCGCCACGCGTGGCCCGCGTGGGTTGGCTTGAGCAAGAATGGCCACGGAGGAAGAGGAGGAGGACAAGGAGGAGGAGGAGGAGGAGAAGGAGCAGGAGGAGGAAGAGGAGGAGGAGGAAGAGAAGCTGGAGCAGGAGGAAGAGGAGTCGCCGGGGTGAGACCAAGGAGAAGTGGAAGGTGAGATGGAGGAAGATCCCCCTCCTCCTCCTCCTCCTCCTCTACCTACATCTTCCTTCTCGTCCTCGTCCAAGCCCTCGCCCTCCTCCTCGTCCTCTCCCCTCCTCGTCGTCCTCCTCTCCCCGTCCTTCACCTCCTCCTCCCCCTCCGTCCTTCCTCCTCCCCCCTCCCTCCTACACTCCCCCCCGTCCTCTCCCTTCGCTTCCTTTCCTCTATGCTCAAGCCAGGAGGCGGGCGCTCAGCGCCCGCGACTACACGGGGCCCGACCCGTGGGCCAGCAGAACCCAGCGGACCCCCTTCAAAACCCCCAACCAGAACCACACCCCAAGGCCCTCCCCACTCCCTGCACTCCCTGGAGGTCTCCAGATAGGTCTCTAGCCTCGCCGTCGTCGTTGTCCTTCTCCTCCTCCTTCTCCTCCTCCTCCTCCTCCATTCCTTCCCTTATAGATAACTTCTCCCTGTCGCGCCCCGAGGCCGCTTTTAGGGCGGGTCGGGCGTTTCGCCTCAGACTTCCTTACCATTTCTGACCCTGAAGCTTGAATTTTGCAACAATTTCACAAATGGATAGCGGGTCGTTTTCGAAATGTGACTCTCGCCTTAGCGCCGCGTGCACTCGCCCTGAAAAATAATTAAAATTTTACGAATTGCTTTTCAAAATGTGGCTCTCGCCTTAGCGTCGCGCACATTCATTTTGACAATTTGCAAGAACTTCACATATTGAGGGCGGGCCGTTTTCAACATGTGGCTCTCGCCTTAGCGCCGCGTACATTTTTCCAGAAAATGCAAACCAATTTCACGGATTGAGGGCGGTCCCTTTTAAACATGTGGCTCTCGCGTTAGCGCCGCGCATATTCGTTTTTAAAGCTAGCAAGAGTATCACGGATTCCCATGATCAGCGTACCAGAAATGAAGTTTTGGAAGGATTCAGGATTATGAGGGTGCATCAGTTGTGTTGATTCGAGGTGTTGAAGTCCCTGGAGTGGCGTTCTGGCACGATTCAGGCAGGATCGTCAAGAAGCAGCGGTCAGGTTGATCCGTGGCGTTGGAATCCCGAGAACAATGTTTGTCATGTGTCAGGGTCTTCAAACGCTTATCTTCCAACGAGGCAATTCCCTCAGTGGAAATGGACCGTTGTAGGGGCCTAGGAAGAGGGAGTTGGAGGGAGGGTTTATTCCAACATCGTTGATGACTCTTGGGTTTGCACTGGTCCTCCTCCTCCTCCTCTTCTTCTTCTTCTTCTTCTTCTTTTTCCTCCTCCTCCTCCTGCTCCTCCTCCTCCTCCTTCTGCCCCCCATCCCCGGGGGTGTCCGCGCCGCCGACGCCGACGCGGGGCCGGAGCCCAAGCGGCCCGCCACCCGTGGCGGTTGTGGCCGTCTCGTCCTCTCGCAGCGGGCCCAGGGTGTCGAGGAGGAGGAGGAGGAGGAGGAGGAGGAGGAGGAGGAGGAGGAGGAGGGCGAGGAGGAGGAGGAGGAGGAGGAGGAGGAGGAGGAGGAGGAGGGGATGGGGAGGAGGAGGAGGGAGGAGGAGGAGGAGGGGAGGAGGAGTGGAGGAGGGTTGTCGTCGTCGTCGTCGTCGACGACGGATCTTCTTGGTCCTTCTCCCCCTTCTCCTCCTCCTGCTGCCTCCTCCGCCTCCTCCTCCTGTCCTCCTCCTGTCCCCTTCCTCTCTCCTCTTCCTCTTCGCCCTCCTCCTCGGCCCCACGGGCTCGACGACGACGACGTCGAGCAGAACCCAAGAACCTCCAAGAGACCCCAGGACAGCTTGTAGCTAATCCCACCAGCCCTCTGGGCGTAGGTGGTTTCACGAACGTTGTCTTTTTTCTGCCAAAGCTCCCTCCTTCCCCTGCTCGGGGAGGGGTGCACCCCTCCCCCTACCCCCTCCCCTGGGCCTGGGAGGGGGTGGGTGCGGGTAGTTAGACCGCCCAAGATGGCTCCAAGAGGGCCTCAGCGAGCTCAAGATGGCCTCCAAGATTGCTGAAGATACCTCAAGATGGATCAAGATAGCCTCCGACATGCATCCAAGAGGCCTCAAGACGGCCCCAAGACAGCTTCAAGTGCCCTCCGAGCCCTCCAAGGACCCCCTCCTAAGAGTCCCAAATCCTTCAACAACCTATGGGACATCACATTTTTTTGCCTTCTCGCCTTTTCGCTTCCGATGGGCTTTAGGCCTTAAGATGGCCCTAAGACGGCTTAAGAGAGCCGCAAGAGGGGCCCCAAGAGGGCCCCAAGAGCGCCCCAGAGCGCCCCAAGAGCGCCCCAATAAGGCCTCAATACATCATTTTTGAGCCTCCGAGGGAGGGGGGCCTGAATTCATTCCCCCCCCTTTTTGAGCTATCGGGCCCAAGACGGCCTCAAGAGGCCTCCAAGATCCCCCAAAAAGAGCCCCAAGAGGGTCGCAAGAAAGCCCCAAGAGAGCTCCAAAAGGGCTTTATGAATGCCCCAAGAGGCTGCGCGAGGACCCTTAGAGAGCTCCAAGATGGCTCCAAGAGACCTCCGAGAAAACGCTTCCAAGGCGATTGTCACACTGCATGCCTCTACACTGCCCTGACCACGGCGACTCGCCTGGCGATCTGTTTCTGGATGGGCTGGTGGGGACGACTCGTGTGCTGGTGTCTGGCACCGCGCGGGTCGTTCGGTCTTGAACGATTGTGGCTCTTCGATAGCGCAGATCATTCCGTTCGATGTGGGCCGATTCCGGCCCACTGGCGGGGTTCAACCTTGAACGCTCGCGCTGGAGCTGCCACCTCGTCGACACGACACGAACCTGCCGTACTCAGCCGAATCAGGAGAATCCAGGAAGCCTCAGGGAGTCCTGGGAGGTTCCAGCAGGCCCCATTCGGCGGTGGACAAACCTTCCTTGAGTAAACCTCCCTTTAGTGAAAACGGCCTAGGACCTAAACCAACGGACCTGGATCCGCATAAATGACGGCCACGACGCCCTCTCGCGAACCGGAAAACGGCCAATTCCTGAATCGACGTGTCAGGGTAGGAGGTCTATCCACCTCCGACCCAAGGGGGGCTCTGGAATTCCCAAGGAGGTGACGAACATTGCCGCCGACGACGCCGGCCACCACGTCCTGCCTCTCAAGGCTGCCTCTGTGGCATCCCTGGCTGCACCGGAGGCCTGCGTGTGCCTTTTCGCCCCCTGGGCGCGGCGGACGACCTATTGAGCTCAACCTGACCTCGGCTTTCCAAATTCTTCCTCTGGTGCGGACTCGACGACGTTTGTTGTCGACCGTCACACTTCTCGGATGCGGGCCTGGCATCACAGGATGCCGACATGCAAGAAACGTGTCCTGGCCAAAACGGGCGCGACCGATGGCGTGCACTGTGGGCACTCGACTTGCTCGGGGCAGACCTGGTCCAGGTAAGGCCGCGTTTGGTGTCCGCAAGCGTGACGCGGGAAAACCGTGGAACCGCTTGATCTGGAAGGACTTATGTTTCAAAAAAGGACTGGGCAATATCAGCATGGGGCAACTTGTGATCCAGGAGAACTCGAACTAAATGCAGTCTGGGACAACTCCGGAGCGAAAGCGAAAGGCCGAACCAGAAATTATCCCCAACCACCCCCTGCGATGATAACCTGGGGGTTCTGAGCTCAGGCCTCGCACCATTTTCTGGTCTATGCTGATGTCAACGTGGATGTCCCAACACAATCGCGGCCGCAACCGGCGACCTGGCGCGAGCTGCGCGCTCTCCGCCTTCCTGGGGCACCCAGCCGGTACGTCGCTGCCTTCGCCGACCGCGCGGAAGAGCAGGAAAGCAGCATGCCACCGCCGACGGCATCTGACATCGAAGCCATCGTGCCATAATCTTTTTCCGCAGTTGCCGCCTCGATCACCCTGCCAGCGGCGCCACCGAGGCCTCTGGGTCTCTGACCGCGCAGCGGGCACGCTTGTGAAACGCGCGAACGCCAGGCGCCGCGAGGTCTTGGCAACTGAGAGTTGGCGGAAGAAAATTCGTTATACATATGTATGTATGTTTGTATGTTTGTATGTTTGTATGTTTGTATGTTTGTATGTTTGTTTGTATGTATGTATGTATGTATGTATGTATGTATGTATATATGTAAGTCTATGCGTAGAAGTAAATACATATATATATACAGATAGATCTAGATGTATGTCATGGAAACTCTTTTTAGTCTCGAAGATGCCACGCGTGTCTTGAGTGGCTGCGGCCCTGCCGCCCGAGAAACAGGAAAGGGCCAGCGCCCCTGGGCCGAACATATTGAAACGTCCCACGTCCATGGTTGGGGTGGGTGGGCCGACCGGCGGGCTTCGATTGAGCAGAAATGGCTGCGAGATGACCTTTTTCAACTGTGGCGTCACATGTCATGAGCCCCCTCAGACAGGTCCGTGCACGCCCCCGACATTTTTTTTTTTTTTTTTTTTTTTTTTTTTTTTTTTGTTTTTTTGTTTTTTTGTCTTTTTTGTTTTTTTTGTTTTTTTGTTACTCTTCTTCTTCTTCTTCTCAGCGGGGAAGGTGAGTCTCGTAGATGCCGCGCGCGTTTTGGCGTCTCCGACCCTGCCACCGAAGAGAAGGAAAGGGCCAATGCCCGTGAATCGAACATGTTGCAACGTCCCGGAAACGGCTCACACGGAGTGGCTCTCGAATTCGGGTTGGGGGCGCGCGAGAAACCAGTGAGGGGCGGAACTCGGGTGGGAGGGGTGCGAAAGCTATGTCCGACAAATTGATCTGAGGATTTCGGGCTTTGTGCAACCAGCAACGCGTGAACGAGGGCTTTACACGGACGGGCAGGATGCGGCTGGGCCCATGTAGTTATAGCCGGCCCCTCAAGCCGACGCTGCTTTTTCTTTGTAGCAGAGCAAAAACGGTGGGAGCCCTCGCGCCGTCGCTCAAGGTCAAAAAGATCGGCCTGAGGAGTGCGGCCGCGAACGAACAGTTTTTGGTTTCGTCAGGGCGCACCGAACTGACAGAAACCACTCGAACATGCAATCGCGTGCGCACAATGCATGAGCTGTTCTACTTCGGACGTTAACCGCATCTCCGACGTTGCAGGGATCTCAAGAACCCATGGCATTTTGCGAGCGTGCAGGTGGCAGATGAGCCGTCAGGCAGCGATTCGGCAACCAGTGCCTTTTCCTTAGCTTGGCTAGATCTTTATCGTTGGCCCACGGTGCACCCCAGGGAAGCTGTGGCGAGCGTGCCGCAAGGGTTCGATCTCGACCTGCACCGAACGCTTGGCAGGGCGGGGCGAACATGCCTCTGAGCAGTTTGCAGAGGGCCGCCGCCTGCCTCCTACACCGCTGCGCTGCAGGGGGAGTCGGGTCGCCCGTCGGGCCATCGCTCATCTCCCAAAGTCTGGCTGGCCCCCCTGCGGCTCGAGCAACCTTGGCCACCGCCCTTCCGGCGGAGCAATTCTCGAGCGCGAGAGATATCCGTACCCTTACCCCCAGGCGGGGTGGCAAGGGGCGGGGGGAGCGACGCGCCGCAGCCGACGGCGGTTGCACAAATGCAAATGCGACGGCCCATGGAACATTACAGGTCGCTGTCTTCTCCGGACCAATGAGCAATCGCCGAGGAACTGCCCCTTCAAATCCGCGCCGTGCCAGCGGCCCCGCGGAGCGCCTCAAGGCGCACCTCGAGCGCTTCGCGGCGGGCGCGCGGTGCTCCTGGGAGGTCGCGCCAGGCACTGCTGAGTCGCGTGGTCCTCTCGTACCGCGCCGCTGATCTGTGCGTCGCCCTCATGCCTCTCTTGCGGACCTCCTCGAGCGGTCGGAAGTCTTGAGCTCGGTCGATGCTTGGGCCGCCAGGTGTCATCATGTAGGGCACTGCGGGTCCCCCCAGGCGCGAGCAGCTCTCCTTGAACTGCTTCGCCATCTCGAAGTAGGTGAAGGTCCAGGCTGGGCGGCTTCGGGTTGCCCCTGGCAACGCCGACCACGGCGAGTCCATCCACCACTGCAATTTGCTGCCGAAGATCACGCTGTCGTCCATCGTCCCCATCTTCGTGGTGCGCCCGCGGGTCCTCGACCTGCACTTGCATCGGCTCGTGGGGGGCCTGAAGGGGGCGCCTGGACTTGGCTGGCACCAGCCGCCGCCAGCCCTGCAGGCAACGCCAGGCCTGAAGGATGTGGCGCTTCCCAGCTTTGCCCAACGTCGGGTAGTCCCCAAAGGCTGCCAACAACTTCTCGCCGTATGTTGGCGGGCGGCCACTCAGGAAGCTGGCGTTGAAGAACATCGCGAGCCAGCCGTCCACGTCGTCGTCGTTGTCGTCGTCGTCTTCGTCTTCGTCCGCGCGCGTTGGGTCGAGATCCTTCGCGAACTCGTTTAATGCCTGGAGGTGACTTGAATAGTAGCGGCGCGCGTTGGCGGTGACCGCCTTGGCCCCCACATGGCTGAGCCCTGAACCCCTCTTTC